TTAGAAGTTGTCATTTTAAGGGGTAAAATTGCGGAATTAAGCAAATGAAGATGAAATTAGGAAAATTTCATACAAATTAACAATTATATGTGTATGTGCGCACGTGTGATGAGTACATTTACCAACCTTCCATCTCATCCAGCATATCAAATTCTAATGGTTCATCGTTTTTATCAGAATCAGAAGTTGTAGTTTTGTCAATATTAAGTTTGTCGGAAACTTCGACATAAAGTGGTTTATCGTTGTCCATAACAGGGAAGCTTATATAATCCTCTTCTTTATCATCAACTAATTCAAGTAATTCAAGAGGGTAGTATCGGTCCTCACAACGGCGTGGGAACTTCTCAACCACGCATTGAAGATAAGGATAACGTAAACGAATCCTATGTCGTGAATAGTAGTGAGCTGTGACAGAGACGTTATATGGACGAGACAGTGTCCCGTAAGCCATTATAGTATGTGCTCCTAAGGGAAAGTTTGTTTACGTGGGAAATAATTAGAAACCTTTATGGGTAAATCCGTGAAACGTGAACGTTTTGCGAAAGTCATTACGGTCCGAATAAAGGGTTCGGACAATCCTTCCTTTGAGCTTCGAATATAGAATTGCACGCTTTGCCGGGTGGTTTAAGTGGTCTCGAAGAGACTTTGGATGGCAATTTAGTATTTCGGCGCACTCATCGATTAAATGACGCATTTTGAATTTAAGAAATTAATGAATGAAAATTTTTAAAAATTTTTTGGCTTTTATACTCGCTCAAACCTTCACATATATTAAATATTTAAAAAATACCAATTAAGAATTATATGGTCCCTCGATTATACAGAATATTTTAAATGACAGATGTTTAATATATTTAAGACTATTATACTATTAAACAATCCGAACGACCTTGAGAAAATCTTTTAAATTTTATTAAAATTAATATTTTTAACAATAATGAATAAATATAATATTAAATATTATCGGAATGAATCGGTAATTATCTTTTTTTAAATTTAATTAAAAATTTTAGAAACGACAAGCTCATTATGATTTGCCACTCGGTGTACAGGCTTTAAGAAAATTACAACAAAAACAAAATTGTAAAAATCGGATAATGAAGAATTATCATCGTTATAATCACAGAGAGGTAGAATTTTTAAATTAATTTCATATAACCCGTTGAACTAAAAGAATAAGAAACATGTTCCACTGCACATCCGCATCCTAAAAATGCAACATACACTAAGAAAATTACAACAAAAACAAAATTATAAAAATCGAAAGATGAACAATTATCATTTTAATCACAGAGAGGTCAAATTTTTAAATTATTTAATTTCATATAAAATTTTAGGGTAAAATATTCAAATATAAGAATCGTGAACCACTGCGTATACGTCTCCTGAAAATACGACAACAAAATCAGCAAATATTTATTCAAAAGATGAAAGAACAAAAGCTGCTTAAAGAATTTTCAAATTTAAAAATTGGCGATTAATAAGCTTGATTAACTTTTTTGTAATTTCAACCCTATTCATTAAATAAATTTATATATTCCCTCTTTATTAAAATAAATTACAATAATATACTTAATTCTTTTCCATCTCAAAGCTCCCGCCTTTCCTAAAAACAACAGCTGCATCTGTTGTAGTTTTTGACAGTTTGGCAGAAAAGATTGAAAATGATAGGGAATAAATTTTCTCGGGTAGGATATATTATTAATTTTTTCCAAGATTTAACTTAATATTATAGGATAATTTTATTTGGCTACCAATGGACAACAACAACACCCAAAATATTGATTTGGGATTAAGTAAATTAATGGATAAGTTATCTTTAAACGTTGAAACTGCTCAAGATCAAATTCAAGAGCTTCAAAGTACAGTTGAAAATCAAAATATGCTAATTATTCAAGCACGACAACAATTACATGTTTTACAAGAGACGGTTGATTATCTTCAAAATCGTATTACTATTTTGGAGGATCGTCTTGATGTAATTTTAATAAATATTTGGGACAACCACTGACTGGGCCAATCAATTATTAATTTCTCTCATTGAACTTGCCACAGGGAATTGAGTTAAATTGGGAAAGGGAAAAGTATGACCATTATATAATATGATTTAAAAATAAGGGTGACCCTAAAACTCGGTATACCCGCAAGTTGTAATACATTAGATATTTATTTAGTTGAGAAATCACTATTTTTTGGAACCGGAGGGAGCTGAAAATCATATGGATTTTCAACAAAGATGTCGAAATGCTAGATTCTGAAACAGATGATGAAATGTAATTGAACTTACTGTTTGTAAAATTTTTTGAAAATAAAGTTGAAATAAATTGTTAAAAAATTTAATTTTTAACCTTCAAAAATTAAAACCCGTACACCCGCAGAAGCTTAACCCCCAAAAACATTAGGGGTAAAGGAAAACATCCCAATATTTTAGTGATTTTGGATATAGTGTAGTGTACCGGTGATAAAAGTTCGGGGCATGATTTTAATAGTAAAAGCTAAAATTTTAATAAGACGCAGGTGCATGTGTACTGTCCTGAAACAATTCACCTCGACGCAACTCATAAGAGTGCATTTGTGGTGAATTGTAATTTTGATAAATAACTTTTACCTTTAAAATCATGTAATCTTAAAACCATTATATTAAATTTTTGGGGACGACTTCTATCTTTTTTATTGATCCGATTATTTTTGTGATTTTAATAGTAAAAGTAAGTTAAAATATTTGTAAAAATCAGGACATTACCAACGAATGCATTGATGCGACGGTTTTTTTTATTACCAACAGTTCTACACTATCGCCATTGGCGCGTGCTTGCACTGTTTGAATCCGCTCTACACTATCGTTAAAAAACGCGTGTTTGCGCAGATTTTTTTAGTAAAACATTTACGTTTAATAAAAAAACGTATAATGAGGTGTATCAAACTGTCGCATCAATGCATTCGTTAAACGTGAAATAGCAGGTTGAAAGTAAGTTTGTTCTGCATCGACACAAAACGTATACACCGCTCGAATTAAATTTTTGAGAATTGAAATTAAAAAATTTTTTAATTAAAATAATTTTTTCTAAAAAACCTGACGCATGTTATCAATTGTTTAACAATTCCTCGCTCTTCCAAGACCAACAATTCCCCCATTAATTGATTTAATTGTTCCAAAGGAATATCAACAATAGAGACAATTCAATTTTACAAAGGACCCCATAATTTCAAGTTCAATATATTGACCGACTTGTAAACTTGAAATATCGTCACCATAAATTATTGTTACCCACATAATTTTTTTAATTTGGAATGAATAAATCTAAGAAAGAAAATAAAAAGAATCAATAAAAAGCAATGCGTGGAAAGTTGTTCATCTTCATAAGAAAAGAAAGCAATTGAGGAAGATGGATGAGTGACGGTATATACTCAGACTCAAATGTTTTGGTAGACAGGGTTTATAGTACATAGAAGATAGAGAAATGAATTTGTTTACAAAATTTATTTCTCTACCCTATACTATTACAAAAATCCCCCTCCTCCTCTCCTACTATTTTTTATTTTGAAGGATTAATTAAAGATTTTTACCGCAAAAAGCAATTTCTAATCAATTAGTAACTTTAGTCAAGTCTGATATATCAAAGTCTTACACACAACCCTTTCCCCTCTCCCTACCAATTAGTTACCATACCCTACACCCCATCAATTAGTAAAAACAAATTAGTTCAGACCCCTCCCCTAAACCAATTAGTCAACTAATTGATTTCCTCCTACACTCAACCCCCAAACCAATTAGTCAATCAATTAACACCTCTTGGTAATAAAATTTTCATTACCCCCTCCCCCAAACCAATTTGTAAAACAAATTGGTTTCCTCTTACACCCAACCCCCAAACCAATTAGTCACTAATTAGTTCCCTTACCCCTCCCGCACTTGTCAACAGGTTCGCGTTAATAGGGGTGGACCCCTCCCCTTAAAATGATTTATGAGGTACAAATTAGTTCAGACCCCTCCCCCCGATTAATAATTTATTACCCGGTCGGTAAATCAAAGAGGGTCATCAAAAAGATCAAAAGAAAAAGCCGACAAAACCCCCTTATGCCCTTTGGTTTTTGTCGGACCCCTCCCCCAGACCCCTCCCCCGACACCCCTCCTATAGGTTGGCGGCATTTCCCTTTGATACGGTTATTGGAGGGTAACTACTATCAGTCTTCTTTAAGTGAAAATAAATTAAGCGAAAAAAAAAGTACTTGGTCTTTGAAAAATATTTTAATGACTTGACAATTATTTTAAAATTAAATTTTGATTAAACCAAGTACTTTTCATGAATTGAGAACAAAATTTTTTTATTTTTAAAATTTGCTAAAATCTCTAAAAAATACAATTAGTTTATTTCTTTCCCTAAAATCCGCAAAATTTTCTATTAAAATTATTCCCTCAGAAAAAATCCCATTCCATCCATAAAATAGCTAATAACCGTCAAAATACGAGGAACGTAAAACAAAACTTTACAAAAAACAGAAACAACCCTCCCAAAATTAATTATGCAATAAGAAGAAAATTGCGGACAATATTTGCGGATTTTGGGAAAACAACAAAAATTAAACATAATTTGTAAAAAGTCTGGGGGATATCTAAAGGAATGTTACAAAAATTAAATTTTAGTCAAAAATATTTTCAAAACCTTTTCATTAGTTTGGAAGACGACCAAGGAGTACATTCAACAGAGTGAAGTCTTTCATAGGCAATTTTAATTCCACTTGCATCAGAAATTCCATTAATAGCAGTAACATAGGGAACTCTTTTGCCTGTCTTCTTTTCTACTTTGCATTTTTCATGAAGATTGAGCTTTAAAAAATACATTAATTTTTTAGTTATTTCTTATTGCATTTTCTATGGACCTTTTGCGAACTTTTAACTTTTTCATTTTTATGCAAAGATCTTTTATAGATCAGTTAAAAATATAGAAAAATGAAGGAAAAAGCCGCAAATCCCCCTCCCCACCCAAATTCTTCCGTTTTTATTTAAAAATAATTTTTAAAAAATCTATATTTACATGTTTTCCAATTCTAAAGTGTTCCCAAATACTAAATTTTTTAACATTTGCTAAATTGGCCAAAATTCCAGTATAAAGAACATCCTCAATTGGAAAAGCGTGAACATTCTCTGTAAGATTCATTATCGCTTGAACTGCTTTTGATGTAAGTAAATATGTAGGTCCGTTGGTGTAATGTGGAAATATTGGATGGGGAAAGTCAATTGGGGAGACATACCTTCAAAAAAATTAAAAAAAAATTTAAAGGTTGGAAGAAAAAGGTGTTTCAAAAAGTAAAAAAAAAAGATTCAAATTTACAGACAACATAAGGAGTGTCCCCTCAAAGGACAGAATTTTATGGGGGCCAAACAATAACAAGGAGAGGTTGCGAGGTGTCTGACTTAAAAACGGTCGAGACTGGGCTCATTCGATAAAGAATGTTATCTTTCTAGCAAGGATTTTGAGCAGTTTTTGCCCGTTTTTTGATCTGGCCAAGAGGACACATTCTCTATCGAATGAACCCGGTCTCGACCGTTTTTAGGTCGGCCACTTCGCAACCTCTCCTTATACTATGTAAGTGAAATCGGGTTCCAAGACTTCAAATAAAAAATTCCCTAAATTTTGGACTTTAATGAAGGAATTGCCTGATATTGTGGAAATTCTAAAAGAATCCAATAAAAAAGATTATACCATCTATGCTTTTCATTACGAATTGGAGTCGATCTTTTAATCATTCCACCAAAAACAGCAGCAGGGTATTTAGACACTCTGTGACCAAAATCATTGTCTATCCACCAAAAAAGTCTGTCAAAATCAACAATTGTGTCATCATCTGTTTTTAGAATATATTGAGCAGTTGAACAGAAGATTTGTTGCCATTGGAGAGCTACATAAACCTAAAATAAATATTTTTAGTTGGCCTTAAAGGTTTAAGGAACTTTGAGAAATAACCCCTAGAAGGATATTAAATAATCCCACCGATTTTATTTTCTTTTTGGTACGATTCCGTTATACCTACCTCCTTCTTGCAAACTATTTTTGCGTCTCTAATTGAACATGCCACATAAAAATTGAGTGAAATTAAGGAGGATGGAGACTGACCATTCTTTACATAAGGCAGTCCGCAAAAAAAGTCCGCAAGAAGGGGGTAGAGATAACGGAAAAGCACCCTCTTTTCTCTCTAAAAATGGCTAGTGTGCCCAACTGATCACTTACTGCCTAGAAAACCATAAAAAAGCAAACCTTCAAATACAAATTCCTGTAAGAATCGTCAATATCATAAACAACTAAATCGTCAAATTTGATCAATTCCTCTTGCATTAATTCAAATACTTTTTGTTCTTGCGGCCATCCAACAATGAATTTCAACACAATACTAAAAATAAGTTCAAATCCATAAGAATTCAATTAAAAATACCTCCTCTCTGCCTAAAAACAAAAATAAAATTTTATCAAAAAATTCAAAAAAAAATTTCCAAACCAAATTCGCTCCCCAAGAATTTCTAATCATATGCCGTGTATAAAATCCATCAGCTCTACTCGGAACAAAAACAAACATTTTGGTCTTTAAAGGGCATATTCCATTTGGTGTAGGCAATATAATTGTGTAATTAATTTTTAAATTTTTAAAAGAAATGAAGAGATTGTCTGTTGGAAAAGGAAATTCTTCATAAGCAATTACACCAAAATTTTCAGTTATTGGTTCTGTATCAATGTCAATTGTTTCATAATCCTTTTGGTCAATTTCCAATTTTTCTTCTTTTTGTTTTAAGTCAGTCTTTTCAGGTGTTAAAACTTTGAAATAAAAAAAAGTTTTCTTTAAAATTTCTTTAAAAATACCTTTAGAATGTGAAATTTCAATGTTTAGGAGCATCAAAAATAAAATTAGAACAAAAGAATTCATCTTCTTGGAAAGGGCAAAATGATCAAAATATAAATTCTAATCCTAAAACAAAATTGAAAAAAAAATTCCAGATTAAATCAAGCAGATATTTTCGAATGAGGGAAAGGAATTCAATTTTTTAGAAAAGAAATTAGAGTGATCAAATAAATTTAGAATTCTAGAAAAAAAACTCTTCAAAAAATAAAAAACAAAAATTTTTAAAAAATTTACTGGGCAATATATTTTAGAGGCAACAATTCTCAACAACTTTTGAGAAAAAAACAACAACAAATAACTTAATTTTTTAGCCAATTTAATTTTATTTAGAATCCAATTAAGCCTCTGCCCATAAGTTCTTAAATGTCACCATCAGCCACTCTCACTGAAATGAACGATTTAAAATTAAAACTTACTAGGGAAGGTTGCGAGGTGTCCGAGCTAAAAACGGTCGAGACCTACAAAGGGCATATTCCCTATCGAATGAGCCCGGTCTCGACCGTTTTTAGCTCGGACACCTCGCAACCTTCCCTAGTTAGTAGAACAAGGATAAATTTTTAATCATTCCTATCTCATAAATCGTGGGCAAAACCGTGGGAGTGATAAGTAGGGATCGGATTTATATTGAAATAAAATCGGAAAATATGGCCATAAAATATTGAAATAAAGTGGCAAAATATTGACAAAAAATGGAAAAAACTAGCTAAATATTGAAATAAATTATCGTTTATTCACTAGAAAACCTCCAAAAAAAGTTGAAATTTAACAAAAAAAATAACCACGTTTTTAAAATCGACTTTATAGCTCGACAAATCGAGTATTTTTACTCTCTTGGACATTTTTTGATTGATAAAATGAGGATGGGACATTTTGTGGGTTTTCTCAATGTGCCATTTCGGGTTTTGTCCTGTGGGACATTTTAAGGGCGAAGCATTTTGGAATGGGCCTTTATGGGGACCTTTGGTCATTTACACATTTTGACAGCACTGTAGGCCATAACATCCCCTTTTCAGCGCCGCAGGCGAAAATTTTGAGAATTTTGGTTGTCAAACGTCTAGATTTCTTCACTTTTTTCCTAAAATTTATGAAAAATCCCAAAATTTTGTAAAAATATGCAAAAATATTGAAATAATTTGAAAAAAGCGCGAAATATTGAAATAACGGGGAAATTGGCAAAATATTGAAATATATTGAAATGTAACTTTGTTCAAAATCATAATACCGAAAGACTAATGGCATATTTGGGCTTTTCTCGACATAATATATTCAGGAAAAAAAAATATATTTCAATACAAATCCGATCCCTAGTGATAAGAAATAAATCCACACTCAAAAAATTTAAAAAAAAAGGGTCTAGGTCAATAATTCGCACACAAAACATTTTACCTTGCAGAAAGCATGCCACGGCTCTTAGCGTATCGATTCATTAAGAGGTGCAACGTGGTCACAACTTCTAAAAAATATTAATTTATACATTAAATAGCCGAATAAAAAACCTTCGGAAAAACGCAACCAATCGTCCAGAGCCGAATCGGCAACCAAAGCAACGGTTATCGAATTCTGAAACAAAGAATGAAGTCGATCCTTCTTTACGATAAAGGCAGGCTTGTTCTAAAAATTCAAAGATAACAAATTTTGATCTATAAATTATAAAGTTAAAAAAAGAACAGAATCAGGACTTAATTTTTCAGGTCAGAATGAGTTCTGATCAATCAATTGTACCTTACGGACTCAAAGTTTAAATATTGCTAAAATATTTTACTATAAATTTAACAAACCTTCTCGAAGAACTGCCACTTAACGTCCTTAATGACCTAAAAGATAATTAACTGATAATTTAGTTTATGATTCATCAAAACCTGCGCAATTCCCTCAGAAAACTTCGCATTCCACTTGAACCCCATAAAGACATCTTAAAAACAAATTTTTTAATTTTAACTTAAACAAATGAACCATCAAATTCATTGCAGAAAAATTTTAATTGCGTTTCAGTCAATGTGTCTTCCTTACCATCCAAGCTTTGCAAATAGCCCATAGCTTTGTTGAAGTTATCCTTAATGGTTGTCTTTGTCTTAAAATAAAAAATTAAATATTTTAAAATGACCACTGAATATCAAAAACAAACAAATATAATATTGACTATCCAATTTCCTTGAAGTTTGAGAACAAAAATGTCAAAATCTTTTGATACTCTAATAATACTCCATTTAATATTAAGGGGGAAGAATTTAAGTATTTCTAATAATAATTCTAAGGGTAATTTCTTTTCAATATCCATTGTGAAAAGTTTTTCACAATTGAATTCCAAAAACCATAGCTCATAAGATTAAGGCCAAAAATAAGGAAATATGCCCGTTAAATAAAGGCTAAAGCCATTGACACGACGTTAGAGTCTTATTTGTTAGCCATTACTGTGCTATGACTCTAATGCAAAATGGACTATCCGGCGCCTAGTTTGCCCACTAACAGATCGGCCGGCTTCAGTTCAAAATAGCAAATTTGTTATGAAATCCCGTTTTGATATTTTTGAATCAAACAGAAAAATAACCGTTTCTACTTTATAATTAAGATATAAAACTGTAAACAGACCAAAGTAGCCATTGAGATGAATAGCCAAAAAAGCAAGAATTATAGAGGATTTTACGTTTCTAAAAAAGATTAAATTAGAAAAAATGAGAATCTACATAACTAAATGAAGCGCGATAACTGATAATTTTGTACACACCCCTAAACAAAGAATAGTACAATCAATATAATTCGAGAATAACTCCTTAAAAACATTCGGGAATGCGGGAGGATACATTAAGAATGCAAGGTCTATGAATGTTCTTTGAAAGGGAATGAAGGAATAACAAACTTAACATAATTGGAAACAAAAATTCTAAAAAGGTTGACTAGTTAAGAATGAAAAAGCCCAAGTTCTAGAAAGTGTAATAATTAGGGAGAATAAGGAGGAACAAAAATCAATAGATTTTGAATAGATAAACAAAAATAACAAATTTTGATTAATGAACACTTTTGTATTAAACTTCTCCCTTTTATAGAAAAATTTAAAATTTCATAACGCCAAAATTTGAAATACAAAAAAGCGCTAAATAGACCAATTGAGTCCCTCAACGCGTGCGATCAACAAAGTGAAGGAAACTTTTCCTCCTTCTTTTAAAAGCTGTACAAATTGTTCCCGTAATTTGGTAATCGCTGTCTTTCAGCATCACTTTTTTACTTTTGATAAAAAGAATAATCTCATGCGAAAATTAAATTTTTTTTCTATTTTAAAAATTAAATTTTCAGTAAAATTTCAAAAAAATTTCTTGTCTAATCATCAAACTATTCATTCAAGTTGCAAAATGTCGCATCGCAAATCTGGGCCATATTCAGACAATACTTCTGTGGATGATGGTATGTCCTTTTAATTTAAATTAAGTCGAAAAAAAACTTTTTTAGATCCATTAACTGACGACGATTCAAAAAAGAATGAGGACAGAATTCGTGAACTTGAGAGAGCAAATCGTGAATATGAAAGTACAGTTCAGGATTATCTTAGACAAATTATTACTTTGCAAAATTCTTTGAAGAAGTCTCATGGCCAGGAATGTGTTGAATTGATTAAAGAAAAGTGTCAGGAAGTTGAAGAGGTTTAAAATATTTAAATTTGAGTTAAAATTGCCGTTTAGGGTCCCCTTTTTCCTCCCTAGGTTTCATGTATAGAATGGTCGTACTTTCTTATCTTTTTTCCCAATTAGCGTTTTTGTATTTTGCTAGTAAGCAAACAAAAAGGAGTCCACCCTTGAAAGCCCTCGATATCTGCTTTCAAAAGTTGTAAGTTTTCAGGTCAAAAGGTCTTCAGGGTGTAGGTCAAGTTGACCCCTCTTAAGTATTATTTTTCATTCTTTTTTGGAAGAAGAAATGAGGGAAAATTTTGGGATGAAAAAAGGATGGCTGTAAACGACAACCTTAAATTTGACTTTGAATTTTCTTTTAAAAAAGTTGTTGAAGAACAAAAAAAGTTTGGAAGAAGACGTGGAGCACTGCACTACAGATTATAATCAAGTTATGGCTACTTTTGCGGAAAACAAACGTGATGCTGACAAACGTGAGGCTAAACAGGCGGAGACGATTAAACAGCTTCTATCCAAGATTGAACTGAAAGATCGAGAAATTGAAAAGGTTTGGAAATTTTGTCTTTTGTGTGTGTTTGTTAAACATGTTTTTTTTAGCTTCGCAAATTGATTCCGTATGAAGGTTATTGTCAGGCAAACGGTGCTTTCTTACAGCAGAATATGACGTTTGAATTTTTTCTATTTTTAAGGGTTTCTAGAAGTCCGGGGATTTAGATCCGTAATTTTAACCAGGAACTCGGAAAACTCTAAAGATCACTAGGACTAATTACTAAAATTACTGGGGAAGGCTTTATAATTTAACAAAAAAATTTTTTTTTATAAATTTAGGCAATTTCTTCCAACGACTTCTAAAGATTATTTTATTGAGAGTGCAACTAGTTGTCCTTTGGAGACCAAAACTAAACAAGGAGGATTTTTTAGCCGTTTGTTTAGCCGTGAATCTGTTGTTACTGCTACTTGGGTATATTTTTAAATTTAAATATTTTTTCGGGGTTTCGGGTGCCTGCATAGACATGGTTTAACTTTGGTGGGTTATTTTCCCTTAGAAATCGAAAAAAACCAAAAATTAGAAAATTTGGATGATTTTTCTGCCTATTTTTTGACATTTTTGAGTTTTTCGCTAATTTCCAGTTATATTTGGCATTAAATTTATTTAAGTAAGTTCCCATAAAATTTTGAATTTTTCAATTTGTAACTGAAAAAGGCGCTTTCTCCAATTTTTTCTCTCCCTTCCCCACCATTTATTGGTGGGGAAGGGAGAAAACCAAAAAAAAAAATTAGGGAGGAGAAAAATAAGGGGGAAAACAAAAGAGTCATATTAAAAATCAAAATTGAATTTTTTAAAAATTAAATTTTAATTTTTTCTAGTTTTTGGGATTTAACACTTTAATTGTCGTTCTCTTTGTTCACGTCTACATGTTTACTCAACGATACTTTTAGAAAGTTTTTTTTGAAAGGAAGGTTTAATTTTTTTTGGTTTTTAGGGTATATCAGTTTAAATAATTCACTTAAAAAATTTTTTTCCTTTTTTTAAATAAATTTATACAGTCAAAGTCCTTTTAAAATCAAACAAAATTAAACGAATTTTTTCCTTTTTCAGCAAGACATTTCTATTTTTGGGGGGAAAATTCAAATTAATATTATTAATTTTTTTTTGAATAAAAATTTTTTCCGGAACATTTCCAATTGAAAAATATTTTAAAACTTTTAAACTTCGTTTGGCCCCAGGGTGGAGGAATCCATCTAATTACTAATGCCCCTGTCCCAATTTAAAATACAATTTAAAATAATTTTTTGTCTCCAAGGATTTATTTTATAATGATGTTCGACTTTAAGTTTGCCTGTATAATTTATTTATTTATCAATTAAAATTTTCCCCTGTGCTATTTATTCTCGATCCGTGATCTTTAAAAAATCAATTATTGTTTATAAAAATTGTGTTTTAAAATAAAATTGGGAAGTACCTAAAAAAATTGAGATTTTTTCTGAATTAATTTTAAAAAATTTTTTGGAATTTTTTTTTTATTTTTTTTTGAAATTTTGATGAAAAAATTTCAAAAAATTTTTTTAAATTAATTTTTAAAAATTAAAAACTGAAGAAAAATTTTTCTATTCACAAGGAACATTGTCTACTATATAACAGCAAATTTATTATATTTTTGGTACCATTGATGGGATAACTTTGACTGACTATAACTCGTCCCAAAGTCATCTTGCTACAAAACGGAAATCACTTCGCAATAGGAAGTTGAGGATCCTCTATCGAATGGTATAAAAAAATATATAAAATTCACGCTTAAAGTGAACGATGTCCTCTTTCAGGCCCGAAGTCGGGGGGAGTAGGCGCTAAAAATCAACAGAAAAATTTTCCTTCTTGCCCCCCCCCCCCTCGAAAAAAATCCTGGCTACGGGCCTATTCCCTTTCAAAAAAGTCGTAGAAAACAATTCATATAATTTTTTCAAAAAATTATTAAATAAAAAAAAAGTAAACCAAAAAATTGGTTTTTACAAAATTTTAAAACTACTAAAAAACATTTTTTAAAAAATATTTTCAATTTATTTTTAACTGTCCCATTGTCCAAAGAAATTACAAGTGGGAACAATATCGCGAAAAGAACAACCAAATTTACAGCATAACTAGAAAGAGAAAAAAATTAATTTTTTTAGAAATTTAAAAGAAGCTTACAAGCATCATTTCAGTCATTGAGGGAGCTCTATATTTATCTGCTGTTGATAACCTTTCAATTTCTTGGGGAGGGTTGTTGTTCTTTTTTGCGAAGTTGGTGAAAATATTGGATGATTCTTTAAATTAAAAATTTTTTTTTGAATTTTAGTCCCTTTTGATGAATTCTCATTTAATGAAAATTTTATTTTTTTGAAAAAAATTTAAAAAATTTTTTTCAAAAATTTTTTTTAAAAGTTTTATTCGAAAATCGGGTCAATGAGTTTATCAGAGAAAATAAAATAAGAATTCCAATGCCCACTGAAAGCAAAAATTAAGCCAAACCCCAGACGGTTTTCCTACTATCTAGTAATACTAGAGTTCAGCGGTATCGGGATTTCGAGAAAAACCCGGGATCGGGATTTAGGAATGGTGATCCCGATCCCGATCCCGGATCCCGACACGGGATCGGGATTAGCCGAAATCGGGATCGGGATTTGGACTGGAGATCCCGATCCCGATCCCGAATCGGGACCGGGATTAGAAAATCGGGATCGGGATTTACTAAAAAAATTTTTTAATTTTTAAATTTTTATTTTCTTCTCATAGACGCATAATTTACTTTACGGTTCAGGGGATTAAGGGGTCATAAGGTAATGGGGGGAATAAATGGGATTGGGTTTCTTCTATTTTAAGCGCCGTAGGCAAAAATTTTGAAAAAGTTGGAAGGCCAACGTGCCAGATTTCCCCCCTTTTAAGCGCCGCATGCCATATTTTTAATTTTGGAAGGCCAAGGGGATTTTGGAAGGCCAAGGGGGGCCTTCCAAAATAATGCAGCTCCACCTAAAAATATTGGAGGAAAAATATATCCCAATAATTTTTTAGATGTATTAAGAGAGTTGAGGAAATAAAGTGGGATATCGATGATATTGTGATCATGGAGGAGGAGGGATCATGGGAATATAAGGATGAAATTCATGTAGTAATATTCATGTAGTAATATTTCTTAAGCCTTCGATTTCTCTTCAAATCTAACTTAATCCTTTTAAATTCACCGATATCCCTCTATACTCCAAATCCACCGATACTCCCCTCAACCCTTCTTGATCCCCCGATATCACACCAAATCACTCAATATTTCGTTAAAGTTGTAATGAAGCTTTGTTCATTTTTACGGCGCCGCAGGCTAAAATTTTGAGAATTTTGGATGGCAAGATGCCAAATTTCTTCCATTTTCTGCGCCGCAGGCGAAAATTTTTCTTACTTTCATGCCTCCCCTCTTCTGTTAACTTTATTTTGCAGACTTCTAGTCAATTTGTAAAGTCGGGATTTTCATCGGGATCTGATGCACATCCCGATCCCGATCCCGGATCCCGGCTCGGGATTGAGATTGGCCGGGATCGGGATCGGGATATATATTTCGGGAGCGGGATCAGAAAAATCGGGATCGGGATTTGAAAAACCCGGGATAATCCCGCCCGATCCCGACCGGGATCCCGATCCCGCTGAACTCTAAGTAATACCGACAATTGTCTTTGGGTGAAATACCCCTTATTTTACCGTATAAAATTAATTACCGTCTTCTTTCCGGTTATTAACATCCCTTTTCTTCCTTTTCATCCCGCAAGTAATTTCCCAAGCTGCAGTGAAGGATTCTCCCCCAGGGGGGCATAATTTCATCAATCCGGAATTGGAACGACGAACAAAAGAAGCTTTTGAAGGTATCAAAAAACAATTTAAAGCCAATAAAAATATAATTAAAATGGATAAAATAAACATTTTTTGAGGTCTTGGAAGAAGAAAAAAATTTTTTCTGAAGAAATAAAATTGGAAAATGAACAAAATTAAATATAAAAATATTTTTTGCTTCCTCATAGAGGCTTCCGCCAATAAAAATTAATATTTAAAGAGATAATCTTTAATAAGAAGAACGCGTCTACTTTTAATTAAAGAAAAAAGGTTACGCAATAGGAAGTTAAAAAAATATTTTTTAATTTTTATTTTTAAAAGGATTTGAAGAGGAATTAAAATTTTGAAAATTTTCAAAATATTTTTTCTTTAATAGGGGCTTTTAACCGTTCAATCTCTCAAGGGATAATTAAACTAAGACTATCCATTTGCGCAAAAATCTTTTTATTTTGCAATAGCTATTAACTTATTAATTGTATAAAATTGTTCAACAACGCCAAAACTAAAAAGTTAAAAAATACTAAAGTTATGAAGACATCCCCAAAATTCTAATACAATCGAACTTCGGGTACTTCCCCATTATGGGGCTGTACACGAAAAATGAATAAAAATGTCTTAAATATGGAAAAAATGTGTCATTCGAAAGACCTCGTCGAGTTGGGTCACTAAAATTATAAGGGCTTGAAATGGTCTTATTAATGAATACACCCCTATTGTACG